ACGGCACTTCGTAAGCATATATTGCAAAGGCATCATGCCATATGCTTTTTTGGACTGTTTCTTCCTTTATTCTTGTCCTGATTAACTGTTTCTCAACAGCAAATAAAATACAACTTGGTATGTTGTATCTGTCTTGTTCTGCTCCATACAACGTGTGAATTTAAGATTTTATGTTTTCTATCATTATTTTAAAAAATAAATTAAACTTTTTAGGTCGTAGCCTCTTATTTTGTTGGACACGTATATTGTTGTGCATATTAATCATGAAATTAATGAGCCATAAATACGATAAATGCATGTCATTCTAACTGAGGCTTTGGTGGAGCCTCCAAAAGATGCTTACAATGGCAAATTGGTTGAGCCTCCACAGCAATTATTCGTAGTTGCATCTGCTCAGTAAGAACCATTTATTTGTCTTTCGCTCTTTATATTATAGTATCAATTTTTGCAGTGCTATTATGGGCATGCATGAAACATGCATTTCTACTAACCATTGAGTAGTGCTACTCTCGATAGTGTTTCTTTTTTCTTCTTTTATCATCATCATTATTCTTATTTAATGTCTTCAGGATGATATCAAGGGCTTTAGCAGTTACTTTTCCATAAAGAGATTTTGTTGAAATTTGAAATACGACCACAACCAGCTTTAATGCAGCAGAAAGAGACGTGAAAGGGAGCAGAGAGACAGCCTCAAGGCCACAAAAGTTCATGAACTTAATGAAGCAATCAATGTAGGTAGGAAAACATTATAGCATGATTAGATTTACATTTGAATGAGTAAGAATTTATATTTATTTTAACGCTATTAATTGAAATTATATAAAATAAAATATTTATTATAAATTAAAATTAAATTTATACTTTTTTATTTTTAAAATTATATATTTAACTTTTAAAAAATTTGAAAAATATATATTACTTTACGAAAAAAACTGTTAATCAGGAAATTAGACTTCATGCAATAATTTGTTCAAGTGGGATATATTTTGATCAACAAGCTTTTAGGTTTGAGTCTTGCATATATGAAAAAAAAAATTGGTTAAAAAAGCTATTTTACTCTAGTATAGATGTTATCGGTCCAAATAGAATTAGTTCTCTTAAGAAAAACTAGTAATTTATTAAAGAAATTAACTGAGAAAATTCAGAGTTAAAATATATTATTATACTTGCAGGAGAGGACTCTGACATGTGTAGCGTATGAGGATGTATATTAAAAATGTTATCTACTAATAATTAGGTAGAAACGCATGCAAGTAGGCAATGCAAACTAAATATAAGAATGTCTGTGTCCATTGATTTGCTTTGCCGTGACGTAGTAGACAGATAAAGTGCTTAAACATCAGAATAATTTGACTGGTAATCCAGCAATAATGAACATGCAATTGTGTGTTTGTGTTTACCATATTGATAAACAAAATCACGAAGAAAACAAAATGTAATATGCTCATCGATAATGTCATTTAGCAAGTGTTTTATTAATCTTGGTACAACTTGATAATTAAGTTCGCAAAATTTTATCTCTAGTTAGTGAAGTAATTGATACTTGTAAAGTGAGAAAAAGTTTAAGCAGTAGTTTCATACCGCTTTAGTGGTGACAGTGTAATGTTGGCATGAGCTCATTTGTTGCTTCTAGCAATCGCGTCTAAGCGGTGGAAAAAGCCACCATTTGAAGAATAGAGACATATATAGTAGTTGATTTAACCCTTAAAATAAAATTGCAAATCAATATGATGTTTGACTATCAATATTTGAATCAGTTTCTCTGATTTATTATGTCACGAAACATTTAAGATGAAAAGTGAGGTTGTTCGAATTGTTGAAGGGTAATCTTAAGGTGATTGAATTATTTCCAGAATTGATTTGTCATAGCCCTACAACTGATATTGATGGCATAATTCGTCTTTAGGGTAATGTATATGTTTTATGTTTCAAGCACCAAATATATTTTATATTTAACTCCTTAATTTGTTCGCAGAACACTAATGTGGCAGTTGGTAAACTTAATGGGCCAGAACATTGACCTATATTTTAGTATGCTTGGTAACGATTATTTCATGACAAATAATGGGTTATTAAGAAAATATTTTTTTAAAAAATGACATAAGCAATACTTTTTTTACAGATAATTAAAATGTATATTACATTCATTTTTAATTTCTCTGCCTTTTTTTTATCACATCCTGTCGCAATTTTTGTTTACATTCTTTCTATTTTTTTCCCTTGTCTTCATATCTTTATCTTCTTCTACCTATTTTACATTTTAAAACGAGGTGTAAAAGAATCCAAATGCATGATATAAGTAAAACTGGTGGTAGGCTGAACGGGGTGTTCATTGGCTATGGAAGTTGGCAGCATAGGTAGTAGAGATATTAGTGATGTTAGGATGGGTTATGATGACTTGGACCACTAAGGCTATGCATGTTTCAACTTTCTAACTTTCCTTGACTGAAATTAATTTTTTTTCTTAATTACTTGGCTCTATTTGCCTTGTGAATTAGATTTTATCTTTAAATTTAGTTTCAAGGGATGTCCAAACAAGTTCTTAATGTATTTCTAGAATTAAGTTATTGGAGATCTTTAGGCTCTAAATATGATTATCGAGATGGAAAGCATATAATATGAATTCCATGACGGACGGTGGTTTTGGGTGTGACAAAAATGATGCACGATCATGAAGTTATTGCTGCCTAGATGATGACCGTGAGTGTTCTTAGGATAAATTAAAGTTATCTATATTACAATTAATGAATCTATATTACATGGCTCATTCAAGTTACTCTTTAATTTGTCATTTTTTATATAGATTCGTTAGATTTATGATATTTTGGGTCTATATCCTCAATTGGTTGTTTGTACAAAATTATTACAGACTAAAGCTTGGGGATTAAAGCCAGTTTTTAATAAAGTTAATCTTTGATGCATAATTAGTTTATTCACTTCAAAACCCAAAGGAATTTAATTACAATTAGATTAATTCTCAGATTTGTTTTTTCGTTCAATCTGAATTAACCCAATTACTTGATAATTAGTTTTTTTTTTTTTGTTCATCCTTTAGATTTACATATTTAGTCTTTAGCATTTAGACCTCTCCTCTATTTTTGTCTTTTTTCATTTATTTTGAGCTATTAAACGTCTTAATTTTGCTTACTATCCAACTTCTAGATAAAGAGATTAATAAGATATGTAAAATATAATTGTAAAAAAAGTCATATATTAATTGAAAAATATATTAATTGATGTCCAAAATTATGAAAAAGAAAAGCCTTTTTAGTTTATTTTAATATTAAATTTGAAAATTCATTTAATAAATAATAAGTGAAAATAAAAACTTAAATAATATATTAATTTATTTTTTAGCCCAACCCAATGATTCGAATAAATCAAAGCAACCTTAATCAGATTGTTTCGTTTGGATTAGCTGAAAAGCTTTTGCAAACTAAACCTACTCAATTAAATTTGATCGATTTAAATTTTATTTTACCCTAAACCTAAATCAAACTAACTTGTGAACACTTATAATTATTAAGTGTTGAACATTATGACAAACAGCTATATCCTGTCACTCTAAAAACAAATAACTAACAAATATTTGGTTAGAGAAATGATATTTTTAAGTACTCTAAGATAGTTAAAATAAATTAATCTAAATACATCCTGCACTCCAGGTTTTGTCCCAAGCAAAGGCACAAGGCCTAAAAAGCTAAAGCAAGGCAACGGTCTGCTACGAAACGTAGCATACTACGGGCCACTAGGAAGCAAAACAAGAAGCCCATAAGGCCTAACAGACATGTTAAAGCCCAAAAACTATGTAGATAACTTTATTTGGACCATAGCTGGCCCATCAAATCGAAACGGGCCATATAATCCACAAAGGTTTTATCTCAATTTAAAAGACGAAATGTGAACAAATAAAAGAGACAAACTTAGTTCCTCAAGAAAAATGACAACTAAAGAAATAATTTCATTTATCAATTCATTCACAAATGGTTAATTGATCTAAATTCTAAGTGTTGGTTTTTGACAATGAATAAATTAGAGAAACTAATTATTTATTTTAAGTTCTTTCTCAAAATTTAAAATAAATTGAAATAAACATATTTTTACTTAGTTCTTTTTAGGTCTGTTTATGAGCGTTAGTCCTTTCCTCCTCTTCTTTTTCATCTCTTACTCTTGGTCCTCTTATTATCTGCAGTAGATCATTATTAAAATTTTGATTTATTAAGCTCTAATTTTTTAAAACTTTATCATTAATCAAACATAATTTTTAAAATTGCACCATTACGATAATAATAAAAAAAAAAAAGGCCAATTGTCTCATCTTTGATTTTTGTGTGTGTAGAAATACGATTCAAGACTAAGATAATAACTTTTAAGGGAGTTTATATAATAATAATAATAGAAATTTATTTTTCTCATGTTATACATTTACATGATAACATTATATTATAAAATAATTACTATAATAAAATTTATCTTATATAATATTTAGCCGTGTTCTTTTTGTGTTTCTTCTTTTATTCATATACATTATGACGTTATATTATAAAATATGCAAAATCTAATTAATATGTGTACGCAAACGGGTCTGAGTTTCTAATTAATATGTGTACCCAAAAACGGGGTGTAGAATTGACCTTCTGAGTTTCTAATTGTCTCTAGCCCCTTCTACAGGTACATGTAAGTCTGTAACGTGTTTTTTTTATTTTTGTCGCGAATTGTACGGCACTGACGACTGGATGGTGCCACGTCAACATGCCTATGCAAAGGTAGCTTAGTCAATAAATATAGTACCCGTTTACTGTAAAATTTTAAAAATTATTAAATATTTTTAGGATGTATGTATAAATTAAACCTCATATTTTCATTAAAATATAGATTTTACGTTAACGAAGGCAAAAAATAATAATCTGACTATATGTAATCCCATGATTCAGTCTCAATCTCAGATTTCCTTATCTTCTGTACTTTAATTTTCCCTCTCTCTCTCACTGCTTCCTAGGATGCTAATGGCCACCACTCTCTCCCATCTCACCCTTTCAATTCTTCCTCACAGAACAAATTATCAATCAACCGCAAAACTTCATTCCATCAATTCAAGGTTGAAGAACTTTTATACCCCAAAAGATCCTCCCATTGCTAACTTAAAAAAACTGTTGGATCAAACTAGCAATGTTCTAAAAACTGCTTCTCTTTCCCTCACAGCAATCACCTTCCCCTTCTTACTAGAACACAAGGCAAGGATCTACCTCTAATTGTTTTTATACATAATGATCCCATCATGCTTATTTAGTTACTTTAATCAATTTGGTTGTCAAATATTGTTTTGACATAGGATGTTGCACTTGCTGTTGATGGGGAGTTTGGGATGTTGGAGGGTAGAACATTTGCTCTTGTTCACCCCATTGTGATGGCTTCTCTGTTCTTCTATACCTTATGGGCAGGGTATTTGGGGTGGCAGTGGAGGAGAGTGAGGACTATTCAGAATGAGATTAATGAGCTTAAGAAGCAGGTGAAACCTACCCCAACTACCCCAGAAGGTAAAGCACTAGAAGAACCACCGTCACAAGTTGAACTCAAAATTCAGCAACTTACTGAGGTACCTTTTTTTTTTTGCTTTTGTTGCTCTTGTTATCCTGATTATATTTATTTCTTTATGTTAATTGATAAGTTGTTTGAATTTTGAAAATAACCTATGCTTTGGTGTAATGAAATTGATTTTCCAAATTGTTAACAGGGCCCTTGTTTATATCATTAGCTGAAAAATGATTTTTTTTAAAGCTTGGTACAAGCTTTAAGATCTGTGGTTGTTTCATTGAATAATGAATGTCGGGTCGAAATTGAATTTGGAACCAATATAATCCATGGATTTACTCTTAAATTGCTGAATTCTGAGCAGTACTTAGTTTTATGGGTTCTCAAATTCAGGAGAGGAAAGAGCTGCTCAAAGGCTCTTATAGGGATAGACACTACAACGCAGGGTCTATACTTCTAGGATTCGGGGTGCTTGAGGCTATTGGTGGAGGGCTGAACACATGGTTAAGGACAGGAAAATTATTTCCAGGTCCGCATCTGTTTGCGGGAACAGGTAAAGTTTTAAATTTACATTTGATGATGGGAAAAATAAAGATATAATTGGAAGTGTTTGGCAATTTTGTTAGCTTATTCAATAGAATGATCAACTATATATTTTGACTTTTAAACATGTAGCTTTGTAGTATATGTTGGTATGGAAAATGATTGTTATGCAATTTTTGTCACCAGCTATTACAGTGTTATGGGCACTTGCTGCAGCCCTTGTACCATCAATGCAGAAAGGGAGTGAAACAGCTAGAAATCTTCACATTGCTTTGAACACTTTAAATGTACTGCTCTTTGTGTCTCAGATCCCCACTGGATTTGACATTTTGTTGAAAGTGTTTGAGTTCACTCAATGGCCTTGAATGTTCCCATGTATTTTACTTCCAATTTGCAACACCAAAATCACCCCAATTTCACATTTTAAGATCACTCTAATAAGGTACAGAAGTGTGCTTAATGAAAGTGAAGGAGATTAACTTGAATTGATTGTAATTGGGTTGTCGTAGGGTAGTGAAATTCAGATTCCCAAAACATCTTGGGAGATGTACTCTGTAAATGGAAATCGTTTTTCTTTGTCTTCTTGATATGTAGCCAATGCCTTCTATTATAACTTCATTTTTGTTAATGAAAGGTAATGTTAGTTATTTATAAATGTTGATAATTTTGAAAAAGCTAAAAATTATTTGGCTTAAGCAGTAATAAGTTTCTTTTGTCTTTAATGTAACATTTTGTTGTTGTTGTTGAATTATCGTCATTTTATTGGGAAACAGAAGAAAAGAAAAAGGGACATCAATGTTTTTTATCCAAAAGAATTTAAATAATTTATTTGCCTCTTTTCTCCTTCATCAGGGATAGTTCTACTTGAAATTTTCAAATTAATGTGCAACGTATACAAGAACGTTTCTGCATAAGGGTTTCTGTCTGCATAAAAAATTTGCCAGGCATATGAACCACATAAATTTGGGGGAAAGCTAAGTGAGACAGAATTGGGAGAAATAGGTAGATTTAATGGGATATCATGAAATATGTAAGGAACTTCATGTATATAAAACAACGGATTCAGATCCTTTCAAGTGTATATATAAAACAATATTTATAACATGAGAGAGTTATTTTTTTAAAAAAAAATTATACATAAACATCGAATCTAAGGCTTTACTTAAAGAGAGTCAAGCCACTTAACAACTGTGGCTTGGATTGTTAATCACTGTACAAGTGTTTGAAATGAGATGGACCATTAGTTGTTGAAGATGAATGAAGACCATCACTAATAACTTATTTTTTATGCCTAATCCTTTTTATTAATTTTATTTCTCGTGCGTAAAGAGGAATACTGACTATACATTTTTGCACACAATCAGGAAGGCCCAACGCTTACACTACATTTTTGCACAAATGAAAACTGTATTTGTTTTTATTTGATATTTTTTTCGTATTACATTTTAAATATGAAAGAAAAACTTAAATTATTTCAAATTTTGCTTAAAAAATTAAACAAGGGTAACTTATAAACTGGGGGGGGAGTTACAAAGTAAAAATGTATATAAACATATTACACTACCAAAGTGAAATTCATGTGAGAGTATGAAAAATAAATGGAGGTCACATCATTTAAGAAGGTCGGCACGAAATTCACCTAATTATAAAAAACATTATACTAAAAAATGTAAAAGCGAATATATGTTATTAGCATTATTTAATGAATAAAAAGTATGATTCGTGTATTTAATGGCTTCTAGCTGAGGTAAAGGTATGTAATTTCCAGAAATTGAAGACAATAAAAACATAAAAAAATGTGTGGAATAAAGTGTATATATATGCAAAGATAGCTTTATGAATGAATTCTTGGACAGGGTACATATTCTTGTGTCTCAAGATGAAAAACTTGTTGTTTCAGCACTCAACGGTTATTTTTATGTGCTTCATGAATATTATATGTATGCTAAGTTTCTGTAGAACAAATGAAAGTCGTAATTGAATAAAAAAATGTCAAACTGTAAAGCATTACAGCCTTCATTTGAACTTTCTTCTGTTACGTTGTTTGTGTATGGTAGAATAATGAATAACATTCTTCTTATTTGAAAAAGACAATATTAGTCAGTATCTTAAGATACTGGTTAAAAAAAATCATATTTTATTTTTAAAACAATTAAAAGAATTTAATAAAGTATATTAAATAATTTTTAATCAGTATTCTTAAGATATTTATAAGTAATATTATTATAGAATAAAAAATATTGATAATATATAAATGTTTGGGTGAGCTTATTATAAAAAAATAAAATAAAATACTTCTCATAAGTTAAAATTAACTTTTATTTATTTTTTTAAAATTTATTTTTATTTTTATATTATTATTTTTCTTTTCCAAGGACTTGTATATAAATTCATGCAAATAAACCATATTCCATTAAATTCATTCCTTATTCATAAATAATTTCATTTAATAAGAATGAGATTATATAAAAATATATATTAATTTGGTTGTTAGTCTCCTGGGAGGACTATCAAAACCCTTCTTTTAAACTAACATGATATTTTATATGTCTTTTTTAATTATTGCCCTTACAATAATAGTTAAAATAAAAAGTAAAGTAATTTTTTATTTAAATATATAATATTTAATATTATTGATACATCTTAATTTGTCATATTAATTTTTAACATAAATTCTATAGTTTTTATTATTATTTTTCTTATATTATAAATTTAAGAACTCACTTTTAAAGGAAAATTTTCAAATTTATAGTTTTTATTCTTCTCAAGTGTTATTACTTAAATTTAGTTAATATTAATTTAAAAAATATTAAAATTTACCGTATCATATAACATCAATATACTTAAAATTAACTTTTCCTGATTTAAATCATTTATTTTCACACTTTCCTACTTAACTTCAAAAGTCTTTTTTCTTTAAATTATTCCTATATAATAAAATATAATCATCATGGTTGGCAATTACATATATATATATATAACATGATTTTATAATTATTTAACAGTAATCATATTTTATCTCTATTGTATTTTAATTTTAAATTTAATTTAAATTAAAAAATATTCCCATGATACTTAAAAAATTAACTTATAAAATAATTTCTTATTTTTTATAAAAAATTCATTTAAAATTGTCTATTGTGTTAAATTTTTATTTTCAAAAATGTTATTGATTAATATTTTTGTTATGGTCAATAAATAATAAATATAGTATATTAATTTCGTAAAATCTCTTTCTCTCACGAGGACTGAGAAAGGTTACCAGTCAAAAGTTATTATTTAAATAGAAATTAATTAATTAAAAATAAAATTAAGAGAATAAGATTTTAATAATTTTAAGGATAATTTTTTAAAAAATAATATTAATTATTGACAAATTTAATGTAATTAATTAATTAAATTAATTTTCTTAATATTTATGAAGTGATTAAAAGAGTCTTATATATAATAGATGTATAGGTAAAAATAAAAATATAATAAGTTGTTTTATAGAGACTTAAGATTTAATTTTTTTAAATTTAATCTAAATTTACTTATTTAAGTAATATGTTTAATTTAAATTCTTTAAAAGACTTAATTAATTGAATAAATCAGTCTTGAGTTTAAAAAAAAATTATTAGGTCTCATATAATGACCTAAGACTCATGCAATTTATAATAATGTATTAATTAATTTTATATAAAAATTATAGTATAATATTATGTTAAATAAATTAAATTTTAAATTAAAAAATATAAATTTTTTATTAGAGTTAGAAATTACATGCCTTGTGAGAAAGAGCATCGCTTGATTTGTTCTATACAAACAACGCTAACATGCATTTGTATTTGTCATATATTTAATAATTTATTTATTTAAATCAAAAATATATTTTTAAAATAATAAATAAAAATATATAATTTTATTATAAATATTTAAGATATTAAATTATATTTTATAATTTATTTAGATATAAAATTTTTGACTTTTATAAAGATATATTTATTTAAATTGTTTAATAGTTTATGTACAAAGAGACTTAACTATTTATTAAAGATCTAAATACATAGTAGATTATTAATAAGACTAATAAGTTAAATTAAATTTTTAAAAATGTTAAATTGGACTCAGTAAAAAATTTATGACAGATAATAAATCAAACTTAAAATTATTAAATAAATTAAGTCTATTTGTACAAAATTCAGTTTAACTTTACTTATTTTCATCCCTATATATAATAAATTATTGATTTATAAAAATTAATAAATTTTTTTAAAAATATTTAAATAAAATACTCATTAAGTTAATAAAATATAATAAATTTATTTTTATTTTCATTTAATTATTATCTATAAATTTTTATATTATATTTTTATTAATTATTAAATAAAATTTTAAATTAAAAACTAAATATAAACAAGTAAAACTAAAAGAAAAAACAAATTACACAGAACAGTGTAACGAAGCATGGACCCACAATATATAGTGCTTTACTTATAAATACCTTAGTTTCTCTTAAAATAAATATATAAAAAGATTTTATTAAAAACATAAAAATTAATTGTTGGCAAGCTATATGCAAACATGCACACCCGTTGATATTCTGTGTGAAGGAATGGGAAACCTTGATTCAGGTATGCCCCCAGCATCTCCTTTCCGTTAAGGAAGATCTCCCCAAGCACCTTCCAAAAGAACCAATAGGAAGGAAAGATGCAGCACAAGAGCATAAATGTTATTTATAAAGTTAATTTGGAACATTTAATGTTGCTGTTTTTTAATTAGAATATATTTTTAAAACATTATTGTATATTTAAAGACACATGCTAAAATTTAAAAAATATAATTTCTTATAAAAATTATAACACAACTTTATTGCATGTTTTAATACAAGCAGGGTGGAATCACATTATAGCTAGGTTGGGCGTGCCAAAAGGGTTTGAAACCCAAAACCCTAACATCCGTTTATTCTTTTATATCACTTTCATCCCTTTCGCCACAAATATTTTTCAACTACGCCCTTATTCAATTAATTAAAAGTTATAAATTTTAATTTTAACTATAAAAAATAATTTTTGTATAACTTTATTAAAGCTCAATTTGAATAAAATTTTAGAGAATTTTTTATTAAAAAAATATCAATATAAAAAATAAATAAGTTTGATTAATATTAATCTCAATCTCAATCTTTAGAGTTAAATTTAAGCATTCATAAATAAAAAATATATTAATTATATTAAAATCATAAAAGTATAATAAATAATTTTTTTATTAAAATCTTGCTATTATTAGTTTTTATTCTCAGCTTTAAAAGTTAATTTTAACATTTTTAAAAATATAGAGAACTTTTTTATAAATTAAAATAACATATATTTTTTTTACTAATATTTGAGAATTAGTAAACGCTACACATTCCATAATATAATCTATGTGATTCTCTGCCGCTGAAATTTCAAAACGTCTACCCTTAAATATGATTGATTAGTTCATTTCATATCAAGAATCAAGACAGTTGCAGATGCCACCCGATCAAATTGTCAACTCGTTAATGCATGCAGAACCATCCATAATTGCTCATATGGCGGCTGTATTTTACATGGTATAGGAAACAAAACATGAAGGAAAACCTACATCATACAGTAATATTATTATTACTTGTGAACACTGTCACATAAACATAAAATGTTTGGAAAGCTTTTAATTTTTATGGCCTTTTAACAACAATTGAAGAACTAAACGGATGGAATGAACGATGATGATGTACGAGGGTTGAAATAAGTGAGAATGTGGGTACCCCTCCAAAAGCAAAATCTTGTCAATCACTCCAAAGATACCAATGTGCATCGAATATAATGCTTTTCACACTTTTTCTCATTCAGTGTTTTCTATTAGGTAACTGCAATTAAGTATTTTTCTCGTCTATAAATAAGATTGCATAAGTCATATATTTTTGTGCTCACATCAAACAAACCTCTTCATTTGTAGTATTTTTAAGTTAAGGTTTGAATTAAGCATTTCCAAACACTATGGCTAACTCAACCCCAATTCGTCCTTGGTCTCGCTTGGCCTCCTTGCGCTCTGTCACTTCTGCTTCAGAGCCATATTCTAACCCATCACTCAAAGCATCCCAAGCAAGACACATTTCCTCTTTAGACAACAACGTTGGTATCACCACATCACTGCCATCAACACCACCATCTAATCAAAGCCCAACGCAGTCACAAAAGTTCAAACACACCACGCCCTTTATTTTTCCACCTTCCAAACTGAAGGTTAACCCAGAGATTGAGATTCAGACTAAGATTAAGATACCCGGGGAAGAAGAGACAAAAGCGGTGCTTATTAACGGGACTGTTGAAAAGCCTAATGCCAATGACAATGGTTCATTGCACAAGGAATCAATAGAAACCCAAAAGCAATCCACAGGCCATCATGAAAAACAAGTGAAAACCAAAGAGAATGAAAGGAAAGGGAAAGGTGTTGATTTGGGTTCTGATGGGAATGGCATAACTAGGGTCATAACAATTGCAGGGGAAAACAGAGGTGCATACATGGAAATACTCAAACCCCAAGAGAAACCCATTAAAAAGATGGGAAATTTTGGTAATGGGGAAGAGGATGCAAATGAGAAGGAGAAGAATCGGAAAGTGAGAACAATATCTTCACTTCCAAAGAGTGGTTTCTACGTGAACAGCAATGTTCAATGTGTCAACAGCTCAATGATGTTCCACACAAGTTGCACACACAATGATCCTGGAGTGCACCTGAGTCTCTCAAAGAAGCCATTTGGTGAACGTGTTGATGGCCAGAGCAATTGATTTCAAAGTGGCGTTTTAAGTTAGTTCTTTGGTGTTTTAAGGTTGTAGTACTGTTCATGTGTCTAGGTAGAGAAAATGAAGGTTTAGTTATTTGTTTGGATGGCTATTATAAGGGCACAATTCTAAGTATCCATGGATTAATCTACACAAACTAAATGACTATGTTATTTGTGTGAATGAAGTCCTGGATTGGTATGTTATGGGGATTTTGTAAAGTTATGACTTGAGGAAAAACAACTATTTCATTTTCTTACTCTGTTTCTTTTCATTCATTTTTTTTTCTCATTTTTCTATTGTATCATTATGATATAGACACTGTTTGATCAAAGTAATTGAAAGTTACCAACTTAATTATACTTTTAAATTAAATAATTATGATAGTTTTTGTGTATTTATCCTTTTAATTAACCTACCACACCTATTGTATAAGACATATATTCAAACGAGTGAATAATTGACTACAAATGAACTGATAAAAAAAAGGAAAAATCCATGATTTAATGTGTCATATGACTTGATCTCTCCAAATCTTTTAAGTTTTTATTATCAAATTAGCCATATATTTGGAAAAGCAACGGAAAATGACTTATTATCTTCATTGTATTCTATACAAACTTTTAAAAAATAGATAACAATGCAAAAATAATGTGTTTTTTATAATTAAAAATATTTTTATAAAATATTTTCTCAAATGAAATAAATTTATTTTAGTGACAATTTTTTTAAAACTAATTTAATATAACATATGTAACATTAGAGGATGAAATTTATTTTTTTCTAAAAAATATTAACTTAACAAAGAGAAAAGTTATAAATAATTAATATTTTAAAAAATTAAAGGTACAGCAATTTAAAAAAATTGAACAAGTAAATATAAATAGTCAATATAATCCCACCTCCAAATCATATAACTTAAAGTGTATGATTAATATATGAGTATGACGGACGGGCAAGCCTTTGAAAATAAAAATGGAAATAATATTTTCATGCTAGATAGATTTAGAGTCATTTTATTTTTTCTTTTAATTGGACTATTTTCTTTAGCTGCGGTTTTGATCAATGGGAGAACAGTAATTTATCCAATAAATACCATAGCAAATTTTCTGATTGAAATAGGCTATTTGACTTTGTAATTTGGCATATTTAAAAGGATAAAAATTTATTTATTTTTCAAAATTTCTTGGTTCCTCCCAATCAGTTGGCTCAAAGAATTATTTAGAATTTTAATTATTTCAACTATTGTCATAATCATAACACTAATTTTGTTTCTCATTTTTTGGTGTAACAAGCTAGGGTTAAGTGAACTTCTCCTAGTCATAGTTATCTTAAGATAAATGTGAATGGATCAGTTTATGCAGATGAAGGGATGACTAGCTTTGAAAGTCTAATTCGAGATGATAGAGAGTTCTTTATTATTGGTTTTCATGGTAGCACCTCCCCTTGTGCTTCCTTGGTTGTTGAGTTGTAAGCTCTTTTTTGGAGAGTTAACCTGGTCATTAAGTAGTATATTAATTACATTTGGATTTAAGGAAATTCTAAGGATGTTCTCCAACTTATTTTAAATATTCCTTTCAAGACTCATCATTTATTTTCTCTAATCTCAGATATCAAATCATTGTTAAAATAAATTAATTTTGTTAGATTTAACTTTACTTGCAGAGAAACCAGTCAATGTATTAATTATCTTACAAAGTTTGGAGCTAAATATTGTAATCATTGTATTTTATTAGATCAATCTCCTTTTTCCTTATTACTTTTTTTTATTTGGATGCCATTAGCTCGTGGGTTGTTAGACCCTACTTGTTTCTTATTGGGCTTTTAGCCCCTTATTTTAGCAAAAAATAAAAATAGAAACAATATATGCAAGCATTCTTTTATGGATGAATAATCCATGCAATTAAAACATCTGAAATCCGAATGCACTCTCACGTATGATAAAAATGTTTTTTATGTTAACGTAATGAGAATTATATTTTTAAAACTAGAATGATTATTAAATTAATAAAGGTGTTAATTTATGATTTGTTGATTTAATTGTGATCGAATTTGATAACAATAAAATATAATTTTAATATTATATAAATTTAAATTATCTAACTATATAAACAATTAAAATTAAGAATTAATTAATTAATCCCACTGTGACGTAAGATTCTTCTGTCTCCAAATGAAAGGCTTCAAACGTGAGAGGTCAACGGTGACTTTTTTGAGTTTCATGAAATAGGTCAATTTTTTCGTCGGTGTCTAAAGGTGAAAATAAAAATTCAACACTTTAATTTATTCATATCTATTTTTATCACATTTATTTTGTATCTATTTTTTTTTTCTTCTATCTTCTGAACACTGATCTCATATGATTTTTTTTTAAAAAGTTTATTATTTGGACAACCTTGCATCGAGAGGAGAAAATTATAATTGTCAACAACAAAAAAGAAATCAAGTTTACATTACATATGTCATGTTTTTTTAGGACATGTCAGGTTTTTACTTTATGTTAAGGGAAGTCCCAGGAAGCATCTTGAAAATAAAGAATAGAAGGGAAAGATTGCGTGAGAATGAAAAGCTGAGATATATACAGTAATATTGTCTCGAATCCAATCAAACTTTAATTTTGCCGTGGGTGAATTTTGTTAACGGGCAACAATGCATGAATAAGAATCTTAAGAAAATGAGTAAAAGTTATATATTTAATTTGTAAGCATGACATGATGGAGCCGCTCAAAGCACAGAAAGCATAATACACCGTAAATCAAGAAATTTCAAGAATAAACAAAGGACACACTCCACAATCCGTATGACTCAATGTAAATGTTTGAAATTTCAAGAACGTCCACACTTGAAAATGAATATGACAGAAGTAATGCATATTATTAGCTCAATTCGTGTCGAGAATCAAGATAAAGACAGCTGCTACCTCATCAAAATGAGCAGAACCTTCCATGATTCCGTGTATGGCTTTATTGTATTTTTCAGAAAAAAGAAGAAGGTAGAATTGCCCATATGTGTGCTACATAAAACGTTAATAGCTGTTGTGCATGGGGTGTCGTAGCAAATTGAATGAATGTGATCACAAATTCACATCAAATCTTTGTGAGATTTCGTTTTTCTAGAAAATAGATATCTTGCAGAGTTTTACAAGATTATTTTTTGAGTCGGTCTATTTTATTATTTGAATATTTTTTTAAAAACTAATATTATGCATAATAATTTATTTTTTTCCTAGGGTTTAAGTGACCCAATGTTGCAATTTCATTACAACTACAATTACCTCAAATGATCTAGTTATTTTAACGTTGAATTTATACGTGATACAATGGATCGAGGATTGATTTCTCAAACTGGCATTGCATTTTTGATTCTACACGCTGGAAAGGTTCCAAGTAAACAAATTAAGTCAAACGAGGGATGCATGAAACATGGGTCCCAAAGCAAAAGCAAATTTGTCTGAGCTGGAAGTGCCAAATGCAATTGAATCTGATGCTTTTCACATTTTCTTTCATTCCGTGTAGGTAAAGATAATAGGTATTTTTCTCATGTTCTAATAGAAATTCTGTTTTGTCCCCATGGGACAAGTTGTGCTTCATGATTTCCTGTTGGATCACCATTCATTCACGTGTCTATAAATAAGACGGCATGAGTCATGCATTTTTGTGCTCACTTCAAACAACCCTCCTCATTTGTATTATCTCTCTCTTGCAATTATTAACTAAGGTTTGAATTGAGCATTTCCAAAAGGAATGGCTAACCCAACTCCAATTCGTCCATGGTCTCGCTTGGTCTCCTTGCGTTCTATTCCTCCTCCTCAGTCAGAACCTAAACCTCAAACCTTACCATCCCAGCTTGTAGAACCCCCTCTCAAAGCACCCCAAACAAGAAACACTTACTCTCAAGACAACAACTTCAGTGCCACCAAATCTCTACCAACAACAACTACAACGGTTCAAAGCCAAACGCAATCACAAAACCTCAAACTCACCACTCCCCCCACCTTTTCACCTTCCAAATTGAAGCCTAATACGGAGAATGAAACTAAGAAACCGGTGGAAGAAGAGCCAAAAACCGTGCTTGTTAACGAGACCATTGAAAAGCCTAATGCCAATGGCAATGATGACAATGGTTCAATGCAAAACGGATCTCAAAAGCAAGGCACTGACCATCATGAAAAGCATGTGACAAACAAAGAAAATGAAACCAAATGGAAAGGTATTGACACAAAGCTTTTGGGTTGTGAGGGGTATGGCATAACAAGGGTCATAACAATTGCAGGGGAAAACAGAGGTGCTTACATGGAAATAATCAAACCACAAAAGAATCCCGTTAACAAGATGGGATATTTAGGTGACGGAGAAGTCAACGCAAATGGGAAGGACAAGAGTCAGAAAGTGAGAACACTATCTTCACTTCCAAAGACTGGTTTCTACGTGAACAGCAATGTGCAGTGTATCAACAACTCAATGGTGTTACACACGAGTTGCACACACCATGATCCAGGAGTGCACCTTAGTCTCTCAAAGAAGCCATTTGGCAAACGTGTTGACGGCCATCGCAATTGATTTGAAGGTGGCACTTTAATTTAGTTTCATTTGTGTTTTAAGCTTATGATGCGGTTCATGTGTACTACATAGAGAAAATAAAGGCTTAGTTATTTGTTAGGGTGGCCATGCATCAAAGGAGCAAGGAAGATTCTCACAGCCTTTGGTGGGACAACTAATTAATGCTATTGGGTAGTATGCATGGCTTAATCCACAAACTAATTATAAATGACTATGTTTTTTGTGTGATACATAGGAAAAGGAGTCTTCAATAGGTATATTATGAGGATGATGATGTAATGTTGCGACTTACCCAATAATATAAGTCATTTACTCCTTTTGTTTTTATATTTTTGATATTTTCTATTTGTTATTTTTAATTATTATTTTATAAAGTTAATGAAAGTGAGGAAAATAAAAGCAGAGTAATAGGAAGTGAGGAAACCAAGAGTCCTCAATCAAATTTATTTAATATACAACTTAATTAAATGTTTATATAATAAGTTTTTTTAATAGAATTTTATATAATAAATTTAACTTTAAAATTTATTATAATAAATTAAAATGACTTATTATAATAAATTGTTAAAAATAAGTTAAAATAAACTTATAATTAAGAAATATAAAATATTTTTATAACCTGCATAAATTACCAATAGAAATAAAAAAGCCACAAAGATTGAAAAAGTGATTTCAAACAAGGGTGGAGATCGAAACATACATAAAAAGAAAATATACTATTTTCAAATATAATTTGTCTTTTTCTTAGTGTCTGCTCAAGCCTTTTTTACATATGTGGGGGAGGGTTATCACATGCTTGGCATGCTTTTATATTTTTGCTTTTAATTATTTAATTGTATTTACAATTTGTACTCCTTATCAATAAAAAAATATTTTTTTCTATAATAAAAATTAATAATCTGATAAATTATAGTACTAAATAATTTTTTAACAAATATTTTATAATTATATATATATATATATATATATAACTAATGCATCAAAATTAGTATAGTGTATTATTTATCAGTATAAATTTTTAACATTTACACTGAGTTTTTAAATTTCATTTAACAAAATTATATTAATTAAAAATATTTTAACACTTGAAAATATTTAATGATATTTAAAAAAAATTAATTAGTCTAATAGTACTATGCACGAGATATCAAACTAACTACATTATTTAAAATAAGGATAGGGTGACAAACTGGGCCTTTCCATCCCGACCTTAGTATTTGCTAATGGGTTTTTAGGCTCAGTCCAACAACTTAGCTGAGTACGAATGTATCGACCAAAAAGTAAAAAAATAAATAAAAAAAATCAAGTGAGATGAGTGTTATTCACGTGAGAGTGAAACTACAAATAATGAATGATGTTACTATAGATGATTAAAATTAAAGTATAATAATTGTGACTTTAACCTGTAGCCTTCTTCATTGTTCTATAATAATTGAATTCCAATCACAATTATAATTATGAAATCAATTTTTATAATCGTGCTTTTAATAAGACCTGAAATGAAATTTAGGGTTATATATATTTATTGAAAGTTAGAAGAAATTTTACTCTTGATTCTCCTTGCATAAAGAAATTTAATTCGTTACAATATTACTTTAGAATTATTTTTTATTTTTTAAATTATTTTTTTATTAATTGATTTGTTATTCATAATTGTAAGCAATTCCATTTCTTAAAGGCTTAGTTCAAATAAAGATGAATTTATTAGTTAATACTTAAGTTTCAATCCCTTAAAAATATACTCTTTATTCACATTATATTTTCTTAAGAGATTTAATACACTTACCAATTAACTGTCAACTTTAATGTAACCATATCAAGAATTATATACGAATGATACCAAGATATTTTTTTTGAGTAATATTATTCTTCTAAATTTCTTTACCTTTAACCTGTATCCTGCCGACAGAGGTAATAAGATCCTTCACTTCGTCATGCATACAATGATATTGATTTCTAATTATAAAATACCATGATAGCTACTTACGTAGTTATCTTTATATTCGATTGTTACTATTGTGAAATTATAAAAAATTATGGACTAATATAATTGATGCAACTACAATAATTATTTGTATTCAATAATTGTAAGGATTTTTCAAACGCCAATCGCAATAGAAGTGGACGATCCCAAACGAACTTCAACTTAACTGTCTAGAGTTTAAATTAATTTTGAAAATTTCAATTTGGGAAAACATTATTTAACCATCATCACTTGTGGGGATTAATTTTACAATTATGTGTGTGGTATACTAATCATAGACGAAAAAAAAGATAATATTAATCATAATTATAGTTATAAACGGCAATTTAGAAACATGTTTTCCTCCTTTGGTATCCCAGTGTGTCGATTATGATTTATGATTGAAAGCTTAAAAAGTTTTAATGGGTTGTACTAAAAGGAAAAGGTTATTACCGTCGCATTATCAAGAAAGGGGAAAGGAGGAGGAAACAAAGGCACCCATAGGACTAAAGATGTCAAATCAAACATGTAAATATTAATTGTCAAACTTTCATTTTTATTATAACAAATAAAACTGTGTCATTTTTGTCTCTGAAATTGACCATATATCAAAGTATATATCTATTGAGGAAAATGTTCCTACAAATTCTTTAGAGACAGAAATAATTAAGGTAGGATAAATTCGGATAGAGGCTTGCAAAGTGTAGTGATTTATAACAAGATTCAATTGGTAACCAATTTAGGAGTAGTTCCAACGGAGATAAGGATGAAGTTAAATAAATGTTATAATCTGGATTCCTATATCGAGTTAAATTTATCCTGTTTAATTTTTGGGTACAAATTATAATTGCATCAGCATGTATCTCCTATGATTATCTAAATTTCACTAATTCGGTGTTTGTATGGGTAAGAACTAATAATTCCCAATTGTATATCACGCCTTGAGCAATTACTTCTAAGCTTCTTAGTGGGTCTTGTGTTTTGTGAAAAATCTTGTATGTGCATTGAACAAGATACCTTCGAACTCTCTTTCATGGGGGTCTACAAGAGCTTTCGATTATGAAATGTTTAGCAAAATGTTGTTCTATTGAGAAAATGTTTTGCCTTCATCCATTTCATTGTGTGGTCAATGATGCGAATATGGCCTGCATTCCGATGGACCATTGAACCTGCTCATCGATCTAATCCATTGAGAAACATATGGACAATGTATCTTGAAACAAAAGAACCAACCTTTTCAAATTGAGAATTCTATGTTTGATTTTCGGGTGTCTTATTCAATTAGTGGATAATTATAACCCTGAAGATGCATTAATCTAAGGTCTATTTGTTTATTAATTTAATTACTGTAGGGTATTTCTAGAACTGGTAAAATGGGTTAATTAGTTCAATTAAGTCTACTAAAATATATATAAGACTTAAATTTAAATTCTAGATCGTAATTAACTCTGAACTTCATGATTCTAAGATTTATCTTGATCGAGTTTTTTTTTTTTTTCTTTTTCTTTACCCTATTTAAACATAGAATATAAATTCGAAGCAGGTTTACGCTTTCATTTTAAAGCTAAAAAAAAGAATAACATTTTCCATATAGTCTAACAAAGTCCAAAACTCGAACTAGCTAGGTTAGATAGCCCGATTTGTCACTTCTAGATATTTCTAATGCTATGTTTTAAGACTGGAATTAACATTCTGAGTCTTTGAATCCTTGAACCAACATATATGGCCAGCTGTTTCTTTTGTGAGCTGTTTGGATAGTCACTTTTTAACATGTTCAATTTATATATTATAGAACCAACATACCCCACAGCATAAGTAGTTAGGTGAAGATCCAAACAGTAAACGCACCGTTTATCTTTAACTTGGCAATAAGGAGTTTACATGCCTAACAAATTAGTCAGAATGAAGTCTAGGTACCCTGTGAAGGGGGAAAACGAAAATGGGATGTGGGAAAGAAGCTAGAAAGTGGAAAAGATCATGTGGACAAACCTGAAAGCGGTGTAACAGTTGCATTTGTACGGGGTGTCTCTCTGTGTCATAGTCCCATCATCAGTGAGATTACAAAGTTAAACATTGAAGCAAACCACATTATTCTAGTTGTTATCTGTTTACTCTGTCTTTAGTATTTTGTTTTACGATGCATAACTACACATTAAATTTCAAAGAGCCACTTGCTAGCTAAACATGATGTGGTAATCCATCTAAACTTGGAGGCAAGTGGCAATTCCCTTCCCTGCAAAGCTGCTTTAAACTTGATTCTGTGCTATTAATTCTCTTTAAACTTCTCATTTGGTTTTGCCTTTTCATCCAATAGAAAAGCTGCACAGAAAATTGAAACAATCCTCTAAGGTACATTAAAAAGATTTAATTATTTAAGTAAACTTCTAGATAAATATTTATAGAAGATGAAAATAAAAATATAAAATAAATAATTTTTTTCACATAAGTTAAAATTAACTAATGCATTTTAAATTTAAATACATTTAAAAAAAATAAAAGCATTATAAGATGATTATTTTATTTTATTACTTTTATCTTTCATTAATACTTATTGAAAAGTATGTCAAAAATAAATTTAAATCTGCTTGGTTTGTAATTGTAACTTGATTGTGTCAAGTGTTTCAAACTTTCCATTTCCATCATTTGAGAGTTATTAGAGTAGAGTCATGTATCCATTAAAACTGTCCTCAAAATTTGCTTTAGCAGTGACTGAAATTTGTAAGCTAGTAACATGGAAGTACTCAATAATCACATGACCCACTTGACTATATGCACATATATGTGACATACCCTTTCAGCTGCGGAGAGATAATAGCAGTTAGCTTTAACAAGAATCCAAAGCAATTTATTTGTTTTTAAGGCAACAGCAAGACCCATTGATGGACAATAGATGAAGGGTGCATCTCAATTGGTGCAAGGCATTTGTTCAATGGTGCAACGAGACAAGTAGCTATGAGTCAAAACACAGTACCATCATTTGATCAATGCCATCCAAATGCCCCTTAACTATGTTTCCTCTTGGCTAAGCCCTCTTGGA